ATGCACCGGGAGCCCGATGTGGGACTCGATCCCGGGTCTCCAGAATCGCGCCCCGGGCCAAAGGCAGGCGCCAAACCACTGCGCCACCCAGGGATCCCTACTCTCTTCTTTTGAATTTCTAGAATTAAATATTAAACTTGAATATTCTAGACATCTTTTCCTGATCCTTAGTCTATTGCTTTATTTTTCCTAAATAGGAGAAAATCTTTGAATTTTTAAAATTCTAATTTAAAAATTAGTTCATTTTTAGTGCATTGTTAGATTTTTAATTTTAGTCAGATTATTCTATTAACTTTTATCTTTTTAAAAAATTTGAGTGGTTGGGATACCTGGGTAGCTTCGTTGGTTAAGCATCCCACTTTTGATTTCAGATCAGGTCATGATCTCAGGGTTGTGAGATTGAGCCCCGAGTCAGGCTCCTTGTTGGGCATGGAGCCTGCTTAGGATTGACTCTCTCTCTCTCTCCCTCTGCCCCTCCCTATCCCCTTCAAAAAAATTGAGTGGATAGTCTTTCTTTTTTCTTAAAGAGAACTATAGATATTGGGCAAGATGGAAATTGTGTAATTCAGATTAACATGTTTTTTACTTAATGCTAATTGCTCAGATAAAAAAGAAAACTCAAAAGTACTTCTGTGGTTAAGTATCATGAGGTCTAGTGAGTGTTGGCTCTGCTACTGACTTCCTCTGTGGCTTTGAGAAAGCTATAACAACTACAAAGATTGAGTGTTTGAACAGACACAAAACAGTTTACCAGAAGCATTTGGTAAAAGCAAATTAAAGAGTTTCTTTGGTTACCTTTAACATTCTTTAACTATTTTATTTACTTTTTTAAAAGTTTTATCCATTTATTTGAGAGACAGAGAGAGTACGCACCCATGGGGGTGGGCAGAGGGAGAAGCAGATTCCCTACTGAGCAGGGAGCCTGATACTGGGCTCCATCCCAGGATGCTGAGATCATGACCTGAGCTGAAGGCAGATGCTTAACCAACTGAGCCACTCAGGCGCTCCTGAAAAATCTTCAATTATTTTAAAAGAACTTTATTCCATTTGATTTTGTAAAATCATTTAGAGGCACGAATGATAGTGGTTATCCTTTTTATTAGTGGAAAAAGCATGGGCTCCAGAGTTAAACCAATAGAGATTTAGATACCTACCACCACTCGGTGTAATCTTAGGCAAGTGTTTTATAACTCTGGCCCTTGGTTTCTGCATCTGAAAACTGGATTCATAACAGCTAAGGTTTATTGACATGTGCTGGGCATTGTGCTAAACATCTTAGATATATTATTTTATGTAGTTCATATAATAACCTTATACGGTAAATACTACTCTCTCCTCATTTCACAGGTGAGGAGCGGAGGTGCAGAAAAGCAGGTAATTTGATCAAGGTCACATAACTAAATTTGTGGTGTTAAAAGAATTAGAGATGAGGTATGTAATATGTATGTCAAGCAGTGTCAGACTCTGAGTAAGTCTTCAGCAAGACATTATATGTTATTGTTGATGCTGTTCTAAAAGAAACCAAAGTGAATTCAGATCAGACTTAGTTTATAAATAATCTATAAGCTGAGGTTCAAACACTATTTCAGATGTCTGTTCCCAGTTCTGATTCCAGAACTCTAAAGTGAACTTTCTAAATTATAAACAACTTGAAGAGAGGCACCCATGTCTTTTAATTTTCTCTTATATTCCATAGCTTTTATATAATATACATTTGAAAAGATAGTATGCATTTAATAAGTACTTATTAATGATTATGAATTCCTCTTGAAAGGTCAAATGTGGATGTATTTATAAATTAAAAACAGCCGTTTTCTGAAAAGTACTTCATTTCCTTTAAGGGCTAATTCTTTATTATTTTAAAAATTGCCATTGGAGGGTAATTTTAGGACTTTCATTATAAAAGTCTTTTGTTTTCACATTGGTGTAAGAAAAAAAATGAGAAAGCTATAGAGAAGGCTGACCTCTCAAGAATTTCTGTGTGGGGAATTACGAAGGCATGGAAGTCCATAAACCATTTCTCCATTTATTTTTTTGTATATTTGCAACAAGCTGTACTTCTAGTTAGTGAAAGTTGGCAATTTTTTTTTTTTGTTTGGTACCAGGCCAAATTCCATTCTCATCAACTCAGAGTTCGTAGGATGAAATGAAATCTAAATTCGACCCTAAATTGAGTATATTTTAATAAAGATGGTCTAGTCTACTTGGGACTCAATTTACCTCAGAATAGTCTTTAAGAATAGTAAATTTTATCACAAATCCTATAATGTATATCCTAGCTTTAAAAAATAGCTTGTATAATTTTTGTCTGATTGCAACAGTAACATATCTGTGAGTGATGCTGGTATACCAATATGCCTTTCTTCATTAGTATATAATTTGGTGATATTTTGTCAGATAACCAGATCTTTACATGTGGAGCAAATGACTTCTTAGAAACCTAAAATTCATGTGTTTCATCACTGGAGTAACTTGTAAACTTGTTTGTTTACAAGTAGCAGTTAACAAGTGGGAAGGGATTGTCAAATGGGTAACAATGAGATATTTTTTTCCCTCCCTTATCTTCCTGTGCTTGGTCAGGTTTTTTTTTTTTTTTTTTTCCTTTCACAAGTTGTTTAGAATTATGATGCTTTGGTCTACCATGCATCTTTGTCTTTTGTTCACTGCTGTATCCAAGGGCCTGGAACAGTGCTTGCCTCATAGTAGGTCCCAAATATTTGTTGAATGAGAGAATAAAGGGTCTCTTGTTTCTGCTCTTGGGCATTTTTGGATGCTCTTAGCATCTTGCTTTTTTACTTACCAGATACATTCTGAGGTTTAGCCCTTATTATCCACTAGATTTTGAGTCATCCACTGGATTCTGTATTATATGGTGTGATATTATTTATAGTGACAAGTGTGCTTTGTGGTAAGAGGGAAAGAACTTACAGGCTGACAATGTAGTCCACTATAGAGACAGAAAGTAGATTAGTGGTTGCCTGGAGCTGGGATTGGAGGTGAGAACAGAAAGTGACTGCAAATGGGCAGTAGGAATCTGTTTCAGTTGAGGGAAATGCTTTTGGATTGTGGTGATCATTGTACCGCTCTGTAAACTTGCTAAAAATCATGGAGTTGTTACAATGAGTGAATTTATGGTATGTAAAATGTACCTCAGTAAAATTGTTTAAAAAATAAATAAAACCAGGTTGGGAGTTTAAAATTTTTGGAAAAATTGGAAAACTAGAATGATGTAATTCTTTTATTTCTTACTTAGGTATGACTTTTTGCTGTAGATAAATGACTAACTTACCTAAAGCCAATTTTTCTGTGAATTATTTCAGGCCAGAAATGTGAATTTTATTCTCTGGAAAAGTACTTTCTTTTGTGCTACTAGCTTGGAATTTATTAAGGCTCTTTAATATAAAACATCTTGTTACATCTAATTTCCTTACCCTCTTTTATGGAAGTAATCCAAAGCTAGAAAAATGAATAGATGTATATTATTCCACATTGCAGATAATCTGTTTACATTTGGTTACACAATTAGGACACCCAATTTTTTTCCATTGCCTTTCAGAAAGATTAGTTTAACTTACCTAAATTGCTTCGTTTCATTTTAAGTGAATTATTTATGGATTCTAATGTATAATCTTCCCCTCTCCCCCCACCTTTTTTGTTGTTGTTGTTAGGAAATTATTTGTATTCTAAAATTACTTGTTGGGAGAAAAAAATGTTTCCATAAAACTAGTATTCTTGTGCAGATTTTTGTATTCTGTAAGGGTCTCCTTGCAAGGAGTAAAACCCCTTAAAAAATGTGACAGTGTCCTGAAAAATTATTTATAAAAGCTTTCCCACAAGTCTAATAAAAGCCAAATAGCTTAAGATCTAATTAAGGTTATTGAGATCAGTTAACTAAAGTCCGAAGCTGTCAACATTGGCAAGGACGTGAGGACCTAGAGACATTGGAATTAAAAAGCACTTGTATTTTAAGAATTGAGGTGGCTTGATTTCTCAGATCATTGTACAGTTATTCTGTGACTTGAAACCATTAGATGATAATAGTTGTTATTGTGACTTTTATAATTGAGAATATAGTGCTGGCTGTAGGTCAGACTCTGTTCTAAAGACTTAAGGAATTCCTTTGATTCTGATAGGAATCTTGTGAAGTAAGGACTACTACCATCCTCATTTAGCAGATAAAGGAAAATAAGTGGCACAGAACTCACCCCGGGTCACACAGCTAGAAAACCCAGACAGGCAGGCATGGCTATCATCACTACACCAAAGTAAAAATACCTTTCCTTTTCTTTTTTTCGAAAGCTTAAAAAAAAAAAAACTTCATCCTCAAAGGACTCAAAAATTCTTGGTATAAGAATATAAAAATTAATACTCTATACTGCTAGATGGAGAAAGGTTTTTCCATTTCCTTCTTTATTTTTATATTTTCCTTGTTTCCTCTTGTATTTTTATGTATGTTATATATTTATATTTTTATGTCCTTTGTGTTCCTTTCCATTGCTACTTTTTTTTTTTTACTTTTTTCAGTGTTACTCTCAATGATTGACATGCTCTGATTACTCATGCTTTTTCATACTATGCTAGGCTGACAGTTCAAACAATATTATTTGAATTTAGAAATCTTTTATTAGGATTTCTTTTGTGTCTGATAGTTTAATCAGTTGTCCCCTGGGATTGGTTGAACATTCTGTGGGAACTCTTCAAGCATTACCTGCTGCTTTTAAAAGGTATGAAGTGTAAATACACCTCACATTTCTATCTGCCTTTTGAGAAATCTGTTTTATTATAACTCAAAAGGTAAATTTCCTGTAAGAATGCTTACGGTTGGCTAAATGGTGATGTAAGTATCAGTATAAATAAGCAAAAGTATTTTAATAAGTTGATCTCTGTTGAACTCTACTACTGATCATACAATAAGTGATCTCACAGTATGGATATGTTCAAGGTATTATTATTTTTTTAAATCATTCATTCCCATTCTTTTGTTTTTATTTTATTTTTAGGATTTTGGCCCCTAACAGTAATTATCAAGATGTTGAGACACTCTATAACTTCCTAATCAAGTATGAGGTAGGAGAAATATTTTTAAATGTTTATCATATTTCCACCATAAACAAATTTTACTATAAATAAACATGATAGAGGTCTAAAACCATCAGAATGGCATTTGCTTTAAATCTGTAAGTCCCACAGAAGTTTGTCAAAGACATATTAAACTTTTTCTTTCATTCATAAAATGAAAACTTAGAGTCCTAAACTAATACACTTTCTCCAGCACAGAATTGTTTCTCATTAGAGGTGTGGTTGGCCTTCCAGACGTGCTGTTTCTCCAGTGTGTGGGACGCTGCAGAGTGTTCGGCATCGCTGCTGCTCACATACTAAATCCCAATATCTGAGTCACTGTGATAACCAAATATTATGCTGCCCCACTCAGCTCACAGACCCAGATGGTTCCTAGGGAGAAAGAGCCACCTCTGAGAACCAGCAATTAGTGAAAAGGAAAGTTCTAATTCCGTTTCCTCCGTAGCAACAGCACAGACCCTGGTGTGACAGCTGAGCTGTGGTGAGGCTCTGGTGTTTTGTGACTTTAACTTGCAAGCTTTCCTCATCAGTGCTGATCCAGGGAGAGTATTCTGTTGATCTTCAGTTTCTCCACCCATGTTCCTGTATGTTCTTTCTTTTCAAGTGTGTGTGTGTGTGTGTGTGTGTGTGTGTGTGTGTGTGTGTAAGTTTCTAAATACTCCAAATGAAGGAATGTGACATATATTCAGGTCCCACATTTCTTATGGAGTGAAGCTTTTAAAAATATATTCACTTTTATTTCTGGTTTGCTCTTCTTTTAACTCTTTGTATGTAACACCTTACATTAAGAACACAGACTGGGGTCAAACTACCTTTCAAAAAATGTTGGTTCTACCCCATATTAACTGTGTGCTCGTAGAAGAGTTAATTTAATTCTCTTTGTCTCAGTTTCTTTAGTAAAATGGGAAGAACATTAGTAGATAAATTATAGATCTAATCCTTTATTTAAAGACAAAATAGCTTAATATATATGAAGTACCAGACACAGTTAAGTGTTCAGTAGTGTTACCCTATTTTATGTAAAGAATAGTGTTTATGTGTGCTTTTTTAGAAAATCAGCCTTAACACTGTACTAACCACATGATGTGCTTATTAAAAGGATTTCTTCTTTGGGGATGATTTGTATAATTATTTCATCATATTTTTGAATTTTAAATGGAATCATCCTAACGATTAAAATACATTTGTGGAAACAGTAGGACAACTTTAAAATCACGTAGCCTGGAAAAATCTGGGACACGGATCTTTTTTGAGTTTAGTGCTTTCTATTGCTGAGAGTATTGGGAGAAAATGTCTAACTTATTACGTATAAGATTCTGTGGATCTGATTCCCAGATTTTTAAAATCCTTTCTCTGAGCAGCACTTTCCCCTTTCAGACCAGTTACTACATTGGAGGAGGTATTTCTTACATCATAAACATCACATTTGAGACCATCCAAATCTTTTAGATGTTTAGCTATTTTAACGCTTAACTTTTGCCTTTCGTTCTTGAATTTTTAAGAATTAAAAATAATATAGCCATTTCTAGTACCTGGCATCCATTATAAGGAGCACAACAAAAATTGAGAACACCAATTCCACAATCAATTCTGTAGTCACACTGCTGTTTACTGACAGAGGCATCTTGTAGCTATTTGTTCCCTGGGAGTTAAAATTGTATGCTTGAGCACAGAAGTGATATTTAACAGTGTAGTTTAAAATGTCCCAATATGAGTAATTAAAAATGTATCAAAACTGATGAGTATGATGAAAAGAGCTATTTCAGGCTAGACCCTTTGATGTGTGTCATGAATTTGTGCCTCAGTTTAGCAGTGCCTTTATTATTAGCTATTAGTGCCTTAATTATTAGCTGCCTACTTTTTGGTCATCTCCTGTGATCTGCAGCCACAGCTCCCTTATACCTCGACTGTGATCTGGGTTATGTGTCCAAATGTATGAGGATGATTGCTTGGAAAAGTAAAGCTATATCTAGATACTTTTTTCTTCTTAAAATCTAAAGGCTTAAGGAACTATTTTATATTACATATTTTTTATTCACATCAGGTTCAAGACCACTTCTTTAGCCAATTTTTCATAATGGTTGACAGAGAACAAATTATTTCTTCATCCTTTGATCAAACATTTGCAGGGTTGTTGGCATTTACTGACCTTAAGTTTGGATACATCATAGGTCCTGGCATATTGGGGCAATAGCGAAAATTATCAGTCTTGTTGACATGAAAGTAGAACATATAAAGAAATAGGAATTGGACTGGTTGACAGTCTAAATATATATCTTAAACATTTTTAGATCTTTTAATAAAAATTATAAAGTACCTAAAAATTAATTGTAATTATATACTAATTTGTATGTCATCAAATATAATATTAAATATTTTATATAGTTAAATAACATTAAACATATAAATATATAATCCTGATTTTAATTTTTACATTTTATTTATTTATTTATTCATGATTGACAGAGAGAGAGAGAGAGAGGCAGAGACACAGGCAGAGGGAGAAGCAGGCTCCATGCGGGGAGCCCGATGTGGGACTCGATTCTGGGTCCCCAGGATCAGGCCCTGGGCTAAAGGCGGCAGTAAACCACTGAGCCACCCAGGCTGTCCTATAATCCTAATTTTAAACAAAAATTTAGGATTATATATTTAAAATATTGTATTCAAAAATTATAGGGGTGCCTATGTGGTTCAGTTGGTTGAGTGTCTCTCTGACTCTTGGTTTTGGCTCAGGTCATGATCCTCAGGGTCAGGAGATCAAGCCACATGTTGGGTTCTGTGCTTAGCATGGAGTCTGCTTGAGATTCTCTCTCTTCTTTTCCTGCTTGCACAGGCACATGCATGCACTCACTCTCTTTCTCTCTCACTCTTGCTCTCTCAAAAAATAAATCTTTAAAAAAATTAAAACTATGTATTTTTAATCTTTAGTGAATGGAAACATTTTCTACACAATATGGTAATTTCTTCACCAAAAAATGTATACCAGCTTTCTAAATATTTTTTAAAGTAGATTGAACAGAAGATAGTTTCATTTAGTTTTCCATCACTAACTCAGAAATTCTGGACATATTTGTTACTATTTGTTGAGTTATCTGATAAAAAGAATTTATTAATATCCAGATTCTTCCCTGCACATAAGTAGAATATAGCTAAATCAATAGTAAACCTCAAGAAATTCAGGATTCCATCACCGTGTCCTCCAAATGTGTGCCATGACTAGTCTTTGTGTGATTGAGGATTTATTTTAAATATTGTAAGTTATATCTCTGAATTATGATATTTATGGCCTTAAACATCTTAAAATATTTAGACCTTGATAGTCTGAAAAAGACATTTCTTTAGAAAATGTCTGTAAACTAAACTTTTTCCTAAACAAATAGACCTTCTTGAAGACTTTATAAACTTAATATTTAAATGAAAATGAAAGTTCATCAGTAATAATTTCTGGAAGGGTCAGCCATAGTATTCAGATGTTGTTAGAGTTGAATGCTTTACGTTTTTCTTTCAGCTTGAATTATTTATAATGTTCAGGATAAAAACAAGATGTGGCTGCTTCTGCTTTTAAAATAGTCTACCTCTATGACCCCAAATCTACTCCAATCCTTTAAATATAGTCATTTTAACTTTTTAACATTTGCTTTCTTTTTTTTTAAGAAAAGAAATACTGAATATGTACGTTAGAAATCTTCTAAGACTCTAGGCTAATTGAAGCCTGAATCTATTGATAAGAGCCAGTGGAGTAAAATTTAGTGTTTCCTGGAGTACACATTTTTTTTCTTTCCACTTGATCTGCAAAGTAATTATCTTTTTTGTTGAGATTCCCACTCACCCCAGGACCCTAATCAGTTCTCTGGTTCTATGAACAGATTAAGTTGTAACAATAGGACTAGTAATTATACATGCAATTTAGTGTTAGTCTAGCATTGTGATCACTGAACTTGTGATTGTTCTTTTTATGCAGATGTGAGAAACTTGACATTTTGCACCTTCAGAGTATGGATCATTCTACTTGTGTGCATTTAACTTCATATGTATTTTTAACACCTACATCTTGATTATTTTCAGGTAAATAAAAATATCCAGTTCACTCCCCAGGAACTTTATGATTGTGTTTCACAGTCCGAGTATCGGTAAGTCCCATCTGTATTATAGATAATGCTGTTGTAAGTTTTTACCATATACAGCACCAGTTGGTGTGCTGGTGAAGGATTCTTTTTATGTCTTCACTACACTATGATTTTTTCACCTTTATTAATATGGAATAGTTCATACATACCAAAAGAGCTCTGTGGTTGTGTGCGTGGTGCGTGTGTGTGTGTGTGTGTGTGTGTGTGTGTGTGTGTACACGCATATATAAAGACAGGTATAAAGTTTAAAGTGATTCTTAAATTTTTGGCCTCAAGACTCCTTTATATTTTACAGAATTGTTGAAGACCCCAAAGACCTTTTGTTTATGTAGGTTGTATCTATCTACAGTTGCCATATTAGAAATTAGAATTAAATGTATGTTCATTTCAAAATAATAACTAATTACATGTTAAGGAACATATAATTATGAAAATAATTTTTCCCAAACAAAAAGAGATCCTACATTTTTGCAGATCTCTTAAAGCTTGGCGTAATGGTAGACAAATGGGTTCTGATAGTTGCTTTTGAATTTAGTTTGTTTTAGTAATCACGTGTCATGTATCACTGGAAAACTATTGTACGTTCTTGCAAGAATGAGAATGCAAAAGGCAGATTGTGTCTTAGTCTTATTATGAAAATAGTTTTGACCTTTTTGACCTCACAGACCCCTTGAAAGCCTCTTTTCCCCAGACCATAATTTGAAGACAAACTAGTATAAAGAATACTCATGCCTACCATTCAGTTGACAAAATAGACCTTTACCCATCTCTATGTATATCCTCCCTTCCATCCTCTCCTTAGAGATTTTGTGTTTATAATTCTCATCTTTATGAATATATGTATCCATAAAAATGTTGACTAGTTTCACCTGTATACTTAATAGCATCATATATTTTCTTTTAAAAAATAGTTTATAGTATTCATATGTAACAAGAAAGAAGAAGCAGTATAAATATGATTCTTTAATATACAGGGTTTGTGTGAAGCCTGCCAATCCTGAGCCCAGGCAAACAAATTCATGAGGAACAAAACCCACTTAATGTTGTCAGTGTTGCCCTCCAGTCTCATACTCCCCCTTCTCACCATTCTTTTTTGACTCCACGTCAAGATTCATCCATTTTGAGGCATGGAGCAGTAGTTGGTTTGCAGTCAGTCCTGTGCTATGCAAAATCATGCAAGAAAAAGGCTCTTGGGAAAAATGGGTCTGAGGCATATCACTCAAAAACTTAATAAGACATACATTTAAAAAGAAGGTAGGAACCAAATTAAAATGGCATCAGTTTTACACATGTTAAATGGTTAAGAAATATGTAAATGTGTCAATAAATCTGACACTTTTTATTGAAAAAGGGGTGAAATTTGCTTGTGCAGGTGGTACTTGGAAGGGTTGCAGATTGTGGATTACTGTGATGATGTGGAAGGAAAGTTATCTGAAATTGAAAGTAAAGTTGCAACACCGATTGTGAATGGTACACATATTTAAAGTGTGTGCATGTGTGTGTTTTGTGTATTCCTAAGTAGCTTGGTTCTGCTGGGTAGTTTTCTCTGTTCATCTAGTGGTTCTTACTGCTGAAATTTTATATAGGAAAATGTGAAATTTGCATCATGCTCAAGTTGTTATTTAATATATCAGCGATGTTGGAACAGATTCATGTGTTCAAAACAAGTGCTATAGCAGAAATGTCTGTAGTTTCACTGCTTTGTAATATGCCACTTCTATCGCTAAACCACAGCTTATTTGCTATTTTTAAATTACACATATCTCTGTATTGCTATAAAATTTTATGAGCAGATGCAGTGAGTGTTAACTGTCAACGTACTTCTACTGTTAAACTCTAGATTGATAAATTTATTTGATATCAAGACACAAGGATTGATAATTGTACACAAATGTTACTATTACTCATTAGGTTAAAATAAGTTTTCCAAAAAAATCTAAAACCATTAGACATACATAGTCTGTTGTAGCTAGGGGTAAAAATTATTTTTTTTACCTTATTCTTCAGACTGTCCATCATTTACACTCTTATTATAGATCTTTACTGATATGCCACATTTAAAGTTTGTGTACATGAGATTTGTGTCAAAAACACATTTGTTGGACGCCTGGGTGGCTCAGTTGGTTAAGTGTCCAACTCTTGATTTCTGCTCAAGTCACAATTTCAGGGTCCTGAGATTAAGCCCCACCTTGGGCTCTGTGCTGGATGTAGAGCCTGCTTGAGATTCTCTCTCCCCCTCTCCCTCTGCTCCTCCCTCATCCCTGCTTGCTGACTCTCACTCTCTCTCTCCCCCTCCCTCCGTCCCCTCCATTAATTAATTAACATCTGTCAAATTTAGTAATACATTAAGAAAATCATTCACCACAATCACGTGAGATTTATTCCTGGCTTGTGAGGGTGGTTCAGTATTTGCAAGTCAACTTAATACATCACATCAATAAGAAAAGAAAGGATAAGAACTGTATGATTATTTCAATACAGGATACAAAATCAATATACAGCAGTCTGTTGCATTTCTATACACTAATGAAGCAGCAGAAAGTGAAATTAAGAAAATAATCCTTAAAAAAATCCCATTTATAGTTGCACCAAAAACTGTAAGGTACCTAGGAATAAACCTAACCAAAGAGGTGAAAGACCTATACGCTGAAAACTGTAAAACATTCATGAAAGAAATTGAAGATGACACAAAGAAATGAAAAGACATTCCATGCTCATGGATTAGAAGAACAAATATTGTTAAAATGTCTACATTACCCAAAACAATCTACATATTTAATACAATCCCTATCAAAATACCAGCAGCATTTTTCACAGAATTGGAACAAAATTTGTATAGGACTGCAAAAGACCCCAAATAACCAAAGTAATCTTTAAAAAGAAAAGCATAGCTGAAGGAATCACAGTTTCAGACTTCAAGTTTTATTACAAGGCTCTAGTGATCAAAACAGTATGGTACTGCACAGAAACAGACACATAGATCAATGGAATAGAATAGAAAACCCAGAAATGAATCCACAACTATATGGTCAGTTATTCTTTGACAAAGCAGGAAAGAATGTCCAGTAGGGAAAAGTCTTACCAATAAATGGTGTTGGAAAAACTGGACCACTTTCTTACATCATACATAAAAATAAATTCAAAATGGATTAAAGACCTAAATGTGAGACAGGGAGCCATAAAAATCCTAGAAGAGAGCACAGGCAGCAATTTCTCTGACACTGACCTTAGCAATGTTTTTCTCTAGATATGTCTCCTGAGGCAAGGGAAACAAAAGCAAAAATAAAGTATTGGGACTACTTCAAAATAAAAAGATTCTGACAGCAAAAGAAACAATCAACAAAGCTGAAGGACAGTGTACTGAATAGGAGAAGATATTTGCAAATGACATATTGATAAAGTATTAGTATCCAAAATATATAAAGAACTTATAAAACTTAATACCCCAAAACCAAATAATCCAAATTTTTAAAAAGATTTTTATTTATTCATGAGACACACACACAAACACACACACACACACACACAGAAAGAGAGAGGCAGAAACACAATCACAGGGAGAAAAGCAGGCTCCATGCAAGAACCCCGATGTGGTACTTGAAGGACTTCAGGACCATGCCCTGGGCTGAAGGCACATGCTAAACCGCTGAGCCACCCAGGCATCCCCCAAATAATGCAAGTAAAAAAATGGGCAGGAGACATGAACAGACCTTTCTCCAAAGAAGACATTCAGATGGCCATCAGACACATGAAAAGATGCTCAACATCACTCAAGGAAGTGCAAATCAAAACTATGAGATACCATTTCACACTTGTCAGAATGTCTAAAATCAAAAATAAAAGAAACAAATCAGATGTTGGCGAGGATGTAGAGAAAAAGCAACACTCGTGCACTGTTAGTAGGAATGGAAACTGGTTCAGCCACTATGGAAAACGGTATGAAGTTTCCTCAAAATGTTAAAAGTAGAACTACCCTATGATCCAGTAATCTCACTATTGAGTATTTACCCAAAGAATATAAGAACACTAATTCAGAGGAGGGATACATGCATCTTTATGGTTATTGCAGCATTATTACAATAGCCAAGATAGGGAAGTAGCCTCAGTGTCCATTGATGGATGAATGGATAAAGAAATTATGGGATGCCTGGGTGGCTCAGCAGTTGAGAGTCTGCCTTCGGCACAGTGCATCCTGGGTCCAGGGATTGAGTCCTGCATCAGGCTCCCTGCAGGGAGCCTGCTTTTCCTTCTGCCTATGTCTCTGCCTCTCTCTCTGTAGCTCATGAACAAATAAATAAAATCTTTAAAAAAAAAAGAAAGAAATCGTGGTATATATATGCAATGGAATATTACTCAGCCATCAAAAAGAATGAAATCTTGTCGTTTGCAATGATGGAACTAGACAGTATAATGTCGAGTGAAGTAAGTCCAAGACAAACACCATATGCTTTCACTCATATGTGGAAATTAAGAAACAAAACAAATGAGCAAAGGGAAAAAGACAAATCAAGAAACAGACTTTTAACTCTAGAGAACAAACTGATGATTATCAGAGGGGAGGTGGCTGGGAGGATGGGTTAAATATGTGATGGGGATGAAGGAGTGCACTTGTGATGAGCACCAGGTATTGTATGGAGGTGCTGAATCACTGTATTGTGCCCCTGAAACTAATATTACATTGTATGTTAACTAACTGGAATTAAAATATATAATGACTGTCATCCTTGGCCAGTATTTTGAGTTGGACCCTTACCAATGGAGCCACCCAGGCACCCAAAACTTGGCCATATCTTTGAAGGTATTGGAAACTCACTGGATAACTTGGCGGGCAGAGTCTCTTGCAGGATGGTTCCAATCAAATGTCTAAAATTATTTTGACTTTACTATTGCACTAGTTGGGAGGAGTCTTTTTGTGGAGGTGGTACTGGGGTCAAAGTTGAATAGTCAGAGTTAAGGCAGTCGTACCTGTTTTTTTCTTCTTTGTCTTGCCACTTATTTTGCAGGTTTGAACTATGATACTAATTAATAAGCTCTCTCTTATACCTAAAAGGATGATTTTGAAGATGAATGACATGTATCTAATACCTTGGATGCATAGAAAAATAGTGATTGCTGCTTAGCAGGCATCTGTTCGGAGCTTTTTTTTTTGTTACTCTGTGGTTTGTTTTGAAATTATTTGCTGTCTCCACAGTGATCAGTAGCACTCCTATTCACCGCAGGTGTGCTCCACAGCTCATGGTTTTCAGATAAGCTGCCAAAAGAGAGGTTCTTTTGGTTTCAGTGGCTCCTCCTAGACACAGGGTCAGATGCACCAAATGAAAGGTGGCAGAGCACGGAGGTGAAAAGAGAAGAAGGATTTAACTTGCATACAGCTGACCACTTTGGGGAAGGCTGAGGAAGATGATTACTTACGTGGTCTGAATTTACTAACAGAAGATAGCATAAAATAAACATATACACTATTTTTTCTAATTGAGGTAAAATTCACATAACAGAATTAACCATTTTAAAGTGTTCAGTTCAGGGGCATCTAGTGCATTCACTCCCCTGTGCAATCACACCTCTCTCCAGGCCTAAGACATTCCCATCACCCCAGAGGGAAGTTCGAGGCTCCGTAAGCAGTCTGGGTTCTTCCCTTCCCCCAGACCCTGGCAGCCGCTCATCTGCTTTCTCTCTATGGATTTATCTATTTTGAATGTGTCTTATAAATAGAATCCTACAACACATGACCTTTTGTATCTGGTTTCTTTCACTTAGCATGATATTTTTGAGGTTCACCTACATCGGAGCATGTGTGAGTACTTCACTCTTTTTTTTTTTTTTTTAAGATTTTATTTATTCGTGAGAGACACAGAGAGAGAGGCAGAGACCTAGGCAGAGGGAGAAGCAGGCTCCATGCAGGGAGCCTGATGTGGGACTCCATCCCAGGACCCCAGGATCACCCCTGAGCTGAAGGCAGATGCTCAACCTCTGAGCCACCCAGCTTCCCTGATACTTCACTCCTTTTATGGCCGAATGATACTCCATTGTGCGGACAGCCCACATTCTGTTTATCCACTCATCTGTTGATGGACATTTGAATTGTTTTCACTTTTTGGCTATTGTGAATAGTGTTGCTATTTGTGTGCATGTATTTGAATTCTTCCAATTCTTTCAAATTTGGGGGTGGGTTATATACTTAATAGTGGAATTCTGTGTTTAACTTTTCAGGAGTTACTGACTCTTTCCACAGCAGCTGCACTATTTTACCTTCCTACCAACAAGAGATGAGAGTTCCAGTTTTTCTGCATCCTTGACAAAATTTGTTACCTTTTTTTTTTTTTTTTTTTTGGATGATAGCTTTCCAAATGAGTGTGAAGGGTGATCTCGTTGTGATTTTGATTTGTATTCCCCTAAGTACTAATGATGTCGAGTGTCTTTCCATGTGGTTATTGGCTCTTTGTCTTCTTTGGAGAAATGTGTCCTCAAATCCTTTGCCCACTTTTTAGTGGGTTGTTTTCTTACTGTTGTTGAGTTATAATAAGTCTTTATGACGAATGTGGCTTGAGGCCAAAATCCTATGTGTGATCTTTCAGGCCTGACCGTAGGCAGTTATAAGGCTTTATCTGGCACTCCACCGGGGAAAGCTGCCTTCCGCATGCCAGATTTGGTACACAGCCGGTGTGTTGCACTCTTCTGGAGGGAGTTGCAGACAATGCTTAGGTCCCTTGGCCCTGAGCTTACGTGCATATCTGCATTCCTAGCCCAGGCAACTCCATTTGGTGGCCTCCTTATTGGGGACTTTGGCTGAGGGCACCTCTCAGGCACTTCTGCTGAGAATTCCTTGGAGGACTTGGCCAAGGTATTTTTCTCCACTCTGAACCAATACTTTTCTACTCCTAGCTCTTTCCCTTTGCTATGTTCTGAATGTTTGTGTCCCTCCCAAATTCATATACTGAAATCCTGTTGCCCAATTCAACAGTCTTAGAAGGTGGGGCCTTTGGGAGGTGATTAGGTCATGAAGGTAGAGCACTCATGAATGGGATTAATGCTTTTATGAAAGAGGGCTCTCACCAGAATGTGACTATGATAGTGCCTTGCTCTTGGACTTCCAGCCTCCAGAACTGTGAGAAATAAATTTCTGTTGTTTGTAAGCCACCCAGCCTGTGGTATTTTGTTACAGCAGTCCGAATGCACCAAGACCTGCACCCCTTCCTCCCCTGAGTCCATGAAAAGGGATCCTCAGCAATGAGATGATGTCCCCTGTCTACACTATGTATCATGTGGCCCTAACTCAGTGCCATTCTATAAGGGAAAATGGACCACTGGGGAACTGACACCTTTAATTTCGTTTCTTGTTTTCAGTGTTGCAGCAAATGAAACAGTTGATTTTGCTTTCAGTTTGGCTTATTGTCCTTATTAACCACCTTGGCACCTGGCAGCTTGACATGTTACATGTTCTGGGTATTAGACCCTATCAGATATAGCAAATATTTTCTCTCTGTACATTTTCTTTTCACTTTTTTTGATAGCATCCTTTGCCACAAGTTTTTAATTTTGATGAAGTCCAATTTATGTGTTTTTCTTGTATTGCTTGGGCTTTTGGCATCATATCTGTGTGCATTGCCAAAACTAAGGTCATGAAGATTTACCCCAGTGTTTTTTTTTTTCCTTAGAATTTCATAGTTTTAGCTCTTTTGGTTAGGTCATTGATGCATTTTTTAAAAAAAGATTTTATTTATCCATGAGAGACACACAGAGAGAAAGGCAGAGACACAGGGAGAGGGAGAAGCAGGCCCCATGCAGGGAGCCCAACGTGGGACTCGATCCCGGGTCCCCAGGATCATGCCCTGGACTGAAGGCAGCACTAAACTGCTGAGCCACCTGGGCTGCCCCATTGATGCATTTTTGAGTTAATTTTTGTATATGATGTGAGGTAGGAGTCTGACTTCATTCATTTGCATGTGGGTATCAAGTTGTCCTAGCATCAAATGTTGAAGAGACTATTTTTTTCCCTTTGAATGGTCTTGGCACCCTTGTTGAAAATCAGTCACCCAGGTATGTGAGATATATTTCTGGACTTTAACTTTGTTCCATTGGTCTGTATGTCTGTATGCCATTACCACTGTTTTGATTAAAGTTGCTTTGTATTTTGAGTTTTCAAAATTGGGAAGTGTGAGTCTTCTAAACATTATTTTTCTTTTTCAAGATTTGACTATTTGGGGTCCCTTGCAATTCGATGTGAATATTAGGATCAGTTTTTGTAAAATAGATTGTTGGAACATTGATAGGGATTGCATTGACTGTGTAGATTGCTTCGGGGAGTATTATGGTATGCCACTAGTTTAGGTCTTTAATTTCTTTTGGCAGTGTTTTGTGGTTTTTAGTGTACAAGTCTTGTGCCTCTTCAGTTAGACTTATTTTTAAGTATTTTAATCTTTTTCATTTCAATTCCATTTACAATAGAATTGTTTTCTTCATTTCCTTTTCTAACTGTTCATTTCTAGCGTGTAGAAATGGAATTGGGGTGCCTAGGGTAGCTCAGTCGGTTAGGCATCTGATTCTTGGTTTTGGCTCAGGTCATGATCTCAGGGTCATGAGATTGAGCCCTGCATGGGGCTCTGAACTCAAGACAGTCTGCTTGAGATTCTCTCTCCATCTCCCACTTGCTCTCTCAATAAAATAAATAAATAAATCTTTTAAAAAAATGGCAATTGATTTTTTGTGTGTTAATCTTTTATTTTGCAACTTTATTGAATTAGTTTATCCTAACAGGTATTTTGTGGATTCTTTAGGATCTATAAATAGAGATAATTTTACTTTTTTGTTTATAATTTGTATGCTTATTTGTTTTTTATGCCTAGTTGCTCTGACTAGAATTTCCAGTACAGTGTTGACTAGAAGTGGTTGAATATGGGCATCTTTGTCTTGTTCCTGATTTTAGGGGGAAAGCTTTTAGTCTTTTGCCATTGAATATTATGTTAGCTATTATATACTGTTTTTATATTAGCATTGTATTCCATTTTTCTTTCATCTAAGATACTGCAAATAGAAAAGTTCAGAGAATTGTAAAACAAATATCTATTGTAGACTTTCTTCTTGTACCTAGAAAGAATTTTGGAAAAACTGCATCAAATATTGTAATTAGGGGATCCCTGGGTGGCTCAGTGGTTTGGCACCTGCCTTTGGCCCAGGGTGCGATCCTAGAGTCCCGGAATTGAGTCCCATGTCAGGCTCCTGACATGGAGCTTGGCTTGCTTCTCCCTCTGCTTGTGTCTCTGCCTCTCTCTCTCTCCCTCTCTATGTCTATCATGAATAAATAAATAAATAAATAAATAAATAAATAAATAAATAAATAAATAAATAAATAAATAAATAAATAAATAAATAAATCTTTAAAAAAATATTGTAATTACATCACTTAATTTCATTACTGCTGTGTCATTTTGACAAAATTAGCCATGGAAATGAATCAAATAACCACTAAAATTATTTTTTAATTGATTTGATCAAATTTCCAGTTTATTTTGACCTGAGATTTGGTCAAAGTGAGTTTGATACCCATGATAGGACAATTTATTTATTTACTTTTTATTTTTAAAAGATTTTCCTTGGGATGCCTGGGTGGCTCAGTGGTTGAGGGTCTGCTTTCGGCTCAGGGTGTGATCCTGGAGTCCTGGGATCGAGTCCCACATCAGGCTTCCTGTATGGAGCTTGCTTCTCTCTCTGCCTATGTCTCTGCCTCTCCCTCTCTGTGTCTGTCATGAATAAATAAATAAAATCTTAAAAAATAATAAAAATAAAAAGATGTTTATTTGAGAGAGTGCACGAGCAGGGGGATGGGCGGAGGGAGAGGGAGAACCAGACTACCTGCTAGCAGAAAGCCCAATTTAGGGCTTAATTCCAGGACCCCAGGATCATGACCTGAGCCAGTGTCAGACACTTAACTTACTGAGCCACCCTGGTGCCCCCATGATAGGACAATATAGAGAAACTGGCAGTTTCTCACGAGCAACATAGAATTACAGAACTAGAAGCAACCTCCAGTCTTGAGCTCTGTTCCAGAACAGATCAGAAGTTGGGATTGTTTAGTTTGCAAAAGAGAAATAGGATCACTGTTAAGAGACACAAAATATTTGTAGTATTAGATGATGACTTTTTTTTTCTTTTTTTGATTTAGGCTCATGTCAGCAAATGGAGTTTTTTTAAAAGGCCAATGTAAAGGAAGAACTTTCTAGAAATTGATAGGAAATGGGCTACGTCTCACAGTTGTGGGTGTTCTCACAACCTGGTGAAAACCAACATGATATGGTTCACTAGGGATGCTGCAGAATGGCATGCAAAGGCGTTAAGGTGCCCCCACATCTACCCTTCTGTCACACTACAGATAAGCCCTGGGGAAAAGGAAGTTAAGAATTCCCGTCATGATGTAGGGGAGACCAAACATACACGATGGAGACATGCGATACTTTCCCCAGTCAGCAATAAGAACTTGCTGGAGAGAGCGTCTGTAGGTGATAATCCACTGTGAGAATGCTGACTCACACGGATGAAGAAACCAGATGCCAGTAGGATGAAAAGCTGAGACAGAGCTCACCTCCTAACTGAGAGGAGGGAGAGAAAGAAGACGACCAGACCCAGAAATAGATTCAAAGTCTAGTTACTGAAGGAGTTTTGTTTTTTTTTTTTTTTCCTTTCACATGTGGAATAAATTAGGCAGAGCAGGAATGGATCAACCCTTTTTGTTTCCTTTGTAAACTTATGAGAAAACGTATTATGTTATGTCAGATAAGTTAGAAAATTTGATGCAGTTTTTCTAAAATTTCTTCTAGGTTACAAGAAGAAAATCAACAATGGATGATTATTTTCACAGTGTCTCTCCTATTTTGGGATCTCTTAGGATCTTCCAGATAATTTTCTGAGTAGTTATGAAGAATTGATGGCAACATAACACTAATTTTAAGCCCTGTAAATATGGGAGACTGGACTAGAGTAACACAAAACCAAAAGTCAGATTTGAGAAACCACACACTCGAGGAAGTGAGGCCACTGAAAATATGGTGTATTTCCTTTTGCTGTCACTACTACTCTCATCCTAATCCCTGCGTTCCAAAGGGTGGCAGGGGAGGCAGTGAAGAGACGTGGCTAGTAGTCCACCCCCAAAACCGTGGAGATGGCCCAGAGCTTCTTAGAAGCCAAGAAAGTCATAACAGTGTAATTTATATTTAAAAACCTGCCATTTCTCAAACACCTAATGTGCCAGATGCTTCCCTAGTTGCTGGCTGTTCTTCGTGAGTTTATATAAACCATCTCCCAGTAGATTTAAATAGGTTTCCATGAAGTATGGACTCTAGACACCAGATACGATGGGTTGGTGCTTTGATGACTCACAGATCCCCCAGTTTGTAGACCCAAGTCAGCTTTCGAGAGACAGGCTGGGCTTAGTCTTAGGTAAAACTCTGAGTAGGCCTAGCATGTAATAAGCATCACTCCCTGCCCCTACTTCTGGCTCAAGAGTACTTAGCTAGTAGTTTTCATTTGTTAATTTAGCAGTTTTAAGAGTTGGAGCTGTCAGCTTCTCATCTCCTCTCCATTTATCTGCTTCTGTCAGGAGGTGCATTCTCTTAGTATGCTCCAGGCTACCTGTTCTTCAGTTAAAACATAAATACGTGATGTAGGCTACAGCATTGCTTGCCCTTTGGATTAGAGCACTATACCATCGGCCCATCTCCTGCTGGGAGAAGCCCTTGGAGACCATACAAACTTTTTTTTTTTTTTAAGATTTTATTTATTCATGAGAGACACACAGAAAGAGAGAGAGAGAGAGGCAGAGACACAGGCAGAGGGAGAAGCAGGCTCCAGGCAGGGAGCCCGATGCAGGACTCGATCCCGGGTCTCCAGGATCACACCCTGGATCAAAGGCAGGCGCTCAACCGCTGAGCCAACCAGGCGTCCCAACCATACAAACTTTTATAAGCATACAGCTTTGCTTCTTTGCAGCAGGTCTGCCATGGGAACCCTCATTCCTGGATTCTTGGAATTGCACCAAGATCTCCGCGTTGACTGAGAATCTGTGCTCCTAAGTGCTTATCTCCCCATATTTTTTTGTCTAAGAAACTATAACTGTCAACTATCAAAGAATGTATTTCAAATCCCAGTCCCAGTATTATCCTGTTGAGATTTTTTTCATTTATCTGACTAGCTGTCTTAAAGTGATTTAAAATTTCTTTATCCCCTAGGGAAAAGTTAACCATTGGATGCCGCCAACTGGTTGAGATGGAATATTCTATGCAGCAGTGTAATGCATCTGTTTATATGGAAGCCAAAAACAGGGGATGGTGTGAAGACATGCTCAACTATAGGACCTAAATGCTGAGTTATAACTTAAAAGGAATTGCATTTATCTTCAAGAACAACAGAGTAGCTTTCAACCTTTTAAGTCAAACCCAAGACACTTGGAAAAAAAAATGCCTCATAAGTGCAAGAAGGTGATTGCCTATTGCTGAAAATCACATTAAGGTTCTAAAGAGCCTAATGCATCCATTGTGGGATAAACTGTGGAATCAACTCATGGAGTTGACGATATCTCCCTACCTCTACTCCTGACACTGAGCCAGTCCAAGGAAAGGAGAGCCATCTTTTTAATCATCTTAGGGTAGGAGCCACTTTGGCATCTGTGGAAGGCCTGGGGGCAGCAGCATTCTCTGAACTCTCAACATGGGTACAAGATCAGGGACACTTCCAAACCTCAAGAAAGGATTAAGACGTGGCCATGCTCACTGTGCCCCACAAATGAATCTTACCCTAGGCTGTTTCGTGATCAAACGGTCTTCCATGTAGACCTGGTGAATGTAACACATAACCCCTCCACTTTTCCTAAGGTAATGTAAGTAGAATTTTGACCTGCTAGCTATATAGTTTCTTCTCTTCTTCCCTGGGCTTGTCACTTTTTAATGCATTTCTAAAGGGAAGAGCAGGGGAGACCTCTATACTGATTTTTCCCTTAAATGTGAAACAGCATGGATTTATGGGATTAGGTGGCAGTGACTCATGTTTGCCCCTAGCTAAACCAAATGTTTGACTTCTTATGTAGTTATACAGTAAGTTGGAAATCCTTGTTACTAGAATATATTATGCTTTTTGTTAATACATTAGATTAAATCTAATTTGCTAATCTATGATGTTAATTTATTTTTTACAAAACAATAAATTTTATTTTTACTAAGATTGTGCTTTTCATTTTACTTCCAAATGTGTTTCTGAACTCTGTACAAGGTATGATGATAAAAGCAACCCTCTGCAATAAAAGAAAATCTATTCAGGATTCTCAGTGTCAATCTGTGCAGGGCCCGCTGAGCTTTAGGTTTTGCATAGGAAGCCGCATCTCTACCTGGGATTCAAGTGACATCAGGGGTGTGAGCCCCAAGGGAGAAGCTTCCAGAGGATCTCTGCTCTCTGCAAAAAGTCTGTCCCCCAACTTCCCCCACCACCCCACCCCTACCCCAATAGTTTTTTCAGATCTTTATCCCTCAGCTGCTTCTGGTGGTTGTTACTAGGTTTTGGTTCTGCTTTGTTACCTCCCTCTCCTCTTCCTACTTATGTCTTTTCAATGTAGGTTGTGATTTTTAGGAAATTTCACTCAGTCACTGGCACACTTTCACGTATTTTACTCTTACACAGATTTTATCTTAGTTTGTGTATCTTTTACTTTGTACCTTAACTTGTCAGTTATTTCAATCTTTTTTTTTTCATTTTACTGATATGTGAAGATGTTTTTCTTTTGGTTTCCTAGTCTTATTTTTTGTTTTGATTTAGAAACATTCTTTTAAACATGTTTAGTCTTTGTTTCTTTGAAGTGTCAGGTTTCTTTTTGTTGCTTTCTTAAGTTTTAATTTAATCTTATACTTTTTTTTTTTAATTGGAGTTCAATTTGCCAACATATAGCATAACACTACCAGTGAATCTTATACTTTTCTAATAGTATAATTCAGGAGTTGAGGATTCCCTCCCCCTTCTTTTCTGGATTCCCCCTCTGGATTG